ATTACATGATTTAGATGAGACTAGTAAAAGAAGAGTTGAAGTGTTGGCTCATTTTGAGGTAGGTTGATAAAACAGTTAAACCATAGCCTATACACAATTCTTTTAGTGATATACTGAATATCTTTCAATATATCTTGTCTTTATGAATAAATTAATATACCTTGTGTCAAATGAATACCAAGCAAATTGTTTGAAGTAAAATTTGAAGTCTGAATGTTCACAACTATTTCTGAAAAGATATAAGCTTATTGCCTACAAATATCAACTCATCTCTACTCAGAGACCATAACTCACTTAGAAACTAAAACTCACACAGAGACCATAACTCACTCAGAGACCATAACTCACTCCGAGACCATAACTCACTCAGAGACCATAACTCACTCAGAGACCACAACCCACTCAGAGACCACAACCCACTCAGAGACCATAACTCACTCAGAGACCACAACTCACTCAGAGACCACAACTCACTCTGAGACCATAACTCACTCAGAGACTAAAACTCACTCAGAGACCAAAACTCACTCTGAGACCATAACTCACTCAGAGACCATAACTCACTCAGAAGCATAACTCAGAGACCATTACTCACTTACAGACCATAACTCACTTACAGACCATAATTCACTGAGAGACCGTAACTCTCCAAATACCAAAACTCACTAAGACACCATAACTCACTAAGAAACCATAACTCACTCAGAGACCATTACTCACTCAGAGACCATTACTCACTCAGAGACCATAACTCACTCTGAGACCATAACTCACTCAGAGACCAAAACTCACTCTGAGACCATAACTCACTCAGAGACCATAACTCACCCAGAAGCATAACTCAGAGACCATTACTCACTCAGAGACAATAAATCACTCTGAGACCATAACTCACTCATAGACCAAAACTCACTCTGATACCATAACTCACTCAAAGACCAAAAGTCACTCTGAGACCATAACTCACTCAGAGACAATAACTCACTCATAGACTATAACTCAGAGACCACAACTCACTCGGGGACCACAACTCACTCAGAGACCATAACTCTCTCAGAGACCATAACTCACTCAGAGACCATAACTCAATCATAGACTATAACTCAGAGACCACAACTCACTCAGAGACCATGACTCTCTCAGAGACCATAACTCACTCAGAGACCATAACTCACTCAGAGACCACAACTCACTCAAAGACCAAAACTCACTCTGAGACCATAACTCACCCATAGACCACAAATCACTCAGAGACCAAAACTCACTCAAAGACCAAAACTCGCCCTGAGACCATAACTCACTCAGAGACCACAACTCTTTCAGAGACCATAACTCATCCATAAGCATAACTCAGAGACCATTACTCACTCAGAGACTATAACCCACTCAGAGACCACAACTCACTCAAAGACCAAAACTCACTCTGAGACCATAACTCACTCAGCGACCATTACTCACTTAAAGGGTTCCAAATATGTTTTCATAATATTGCAGAGCCTGGCCTCCCCTTATCTATGAATCTGCCAAACTCTGTTGCTCTTTGCTGTAAGTTTGTTACCTAATCTCATATCACAAGTTAATATATAACACTATAATAACATATAATTACAAATGATTTCATAAGACTAACAGGATATTGACTGTTTATTGCCCAGTAACCTCGCCCAGTAATCTCGGGTTAAGACAAAGAGCACCTGATACCTACTAATAGGTAATTGGACCATTGTTTCCTGAACCTCTAATACTCAGTACTGTTAAGAGTGTAACAGAGTTAAAGTTTAGATTAGATCTTACTAATGACATGAATAGGTCATGATGTTACAAGAAAACCTGAAGCCTGGTAATAGGATCATTGTATCCTGAAGAATGTAACAGATTTCTGATTCCTAACATCTCACTGACATAAAAAAGTTTAAAATGCAGCAAAGAGTCATTCCAGGTAGATATGATGTGGGAAATATCAAAATTTATAGCATAATCACTTAACCTAGTAATGTAAGACTTTCAGTAATGAACTGATGAAAAGATCTCCTTACCATTGGAATAAGTGCACATTCCATAGTGGTGTTCTTCAGTAGCTCAGTGAAAAGTTTGACCTATATTGGTTTATAATGCTTGAAGGAACTATCCTGGTA